GGCTCAGTGGAGAGGTGTGGGTTCAATCCTGTTTAAAAATAATAACAAATAATGAATAGAGGCGTACTCGTCTGCAGGTTCGTCTCTGGGAACTATGAAGTCCAGCAGCATCCTCCTGAGATCTGGTAAGGTCCCTCTTGCTTTATCATAACAGGATAGCAAGACAGAGCAGACATGCTAGCTCAAGTCTCCTTATTTGCTTTAGCGCCAGGAATTGAATCCAGGACCTTCATGTTAAGTTCCATCCCCGGCCCTCTTCTATTTTTTATTTTTTGACAAATTCTCACGAGGCTCCTACATTGCCAAGGCTGGGTTCGAACTTGCCATTCTTCTGCCTGAGCCTCCCAGAGTCCTGGGAATACTAGCATGCATCTTTTCCTTTTGATGAAGTCATTGATGCTCTGTGCCTCCCAGTGACATCATCTCATCCCCACGACCACTCTGCCACGTCTTTCAAACACCATGAACACAGGGGTCTAGGGATTTAGTTTCCAACCCATGAGTTTCAGGAGGATACCATCAAACTGGCAAACCTGGTTTACTGAGAAGTAATAATGGTCAGGTATGAAAAATACACAGAACCTTAGTTTCAAGCACTATGCTCTGAGGACCTTTTTATATTCAGAAATTACTGAGGGTACCAAGGACCTTTATTACTGAGGTTTTGCCAGTATTTACCACGTGTGAAATTAAAACTAAAACATTACTAAGACATAGTTATTAATGTGCCAAAATACACTACTAAACTCTTTAAACATGAACATAAATCACATCCTTTTAATGAAACGTACCATAATTTAGTGAGAAGACTGGCATTGTCTTTCTTTTGTATTAAAACACAAATGTGTTTTAATATCTCGTTGGAGAGAGGACAGCGGGATTCTCCTGTCTCTGTATCCGATCTGTTGTGATAGGTTGTTTGGGGAAAGTGGATGAAGAAAGTCTGGCCTCACACAGATATGTGTTTGGCAAAGGGAGGATTAGTTTAATAATCTTTTCAGATTATTGTGGCTATACTTCTTTGATAGTTTACCAGAATTTGACAAGCGCTAGTTTCTTGAGGGTAAACTGCAATTGCTGGCTCTCAACATATCAGTAAATTCATACTCTGCTAAAACCCACTGGCTTATCTTCCACTTGAAGTGAAACTTTTATGCATGCATGATTTTATAATATTATGCATTGGTCTTTAATAAATGCTGTGTATTTTCCTTGTGGGGACAGGCTTAATTTATTTATTTTTGAGACATTTTCTTAAAACAAAATCCCCAAATTCAAACAATTATAGTTTGTCTGTCACTGGTTATTTCAAGTAAAAACAGTGTCCCATGGGGAAAGATAAAAGCGAACTCAGCTTGTAATTCAAACAATTGCACAAGTTCCCCTTCAGAGAGTTGGTGTACTTTGGAAGGCCCCAGAAATGCTTTGTGCGCACTTCCCATCCCACTGCAGATTCTCACAAAAAGGCACTCCAGAGCTGAAATTTAATATGCCCAATCATCTGTGCCACTTCACTGAGGCCTTCTGAAGCTGGCACATTTCTGCTACTGGAGAGGGTAATAGTGAGGCGGCAGATTAGGGCGTGGTGAAGAGGCAGGACAATAGGGCACGGCTGTCAATCACGGACAACTGGCAAATCACGGCAGAGCTTCTGACTTCGAGCCTCTGACTTTGGAAGAACACTATAAAAACTGCAGCCAGTGGCTCATTCTTGTAGTGATCTACTCCACATGCAGGGTGTATTTGCTTTCTTTTTTTCACTTCTACATTTTCTTTTTTACTTCTTCTTTCCTCTTTCTGCTCCCCCTTCCTCTCCCCTCCCCTTCCTCCCTCCTCCTCTTCCTCTTCTTTTTTATGTAGTGCAGGCTGACTTTGAACTCACTATGTAGCCCAGGTTGGTTTCAAATTCATTCCTGCCTCAGCCTCCTGAGCACTGGGTTACAGGCCTGTGCCACCGTGCCAGGCTAAGTTTTTTTTAACCTTAAATAAATGCTTAACTTTTATATGTAGCATTTCTGCTGCTCAGCTCTTCAAACAGTATAGCAAGAGCCTCGAAAGGTCTCACTGTCCGGTAACAGTAATCCGTGACACAGGGCCTACTAGGACAGTTTGGTGCCACCACCTGAATCAAAGGCACAAGCACCATCACGTACTTTTGCTTTCTGCAACATCGGTACAAATTTCAACCCTATGGGCAAAAAGCAAATAATGTCTTAGTATAATTAACTAAATATCTTTGAGCCAGGCTGTAGTGGTGCACACCTATAATCCCAGCACTTGGGAGGCTCACTTTGAGGCTACAAAGTGAGCTCAAGGCCAGCTGGAACTGCATAGCAACACCATGTCTCAAAGGACAAAAATCATCATCATCATCATCTTTGGTGTTGTGGATCCCTGCCCTGGACCTCACGGACCTCTGCAAAATGCTAACAGCATCTTCTCGTAACTGTGGAAAGTGATGCAGTGATGTTTACTTTTTACTTCATGCACTTTTCTACTTTTTAAATCCTTTACAATGAGTATGTATTCTTAAGTAATTAAAAACACTAAAGAACAAGATTAAATTTAAATTATAAGCAACAATTAAACTCAGTATAAAATGCTCCATAGAACTAGTTTCATATTGAGAATATGAAGAGATTAGATACATAAAGCAGGGAGCTTAAATTATTAAACAAAACAAACAAAAACTTCCCCCAAAGAAATGCTTCATTTCCCTCAAGGCCGAGGAAGGAAGCCGTGCTGGGCTCTGAGGTGGAGTTGTCCACTGGACCGGGTAGCAGCAAGGATCAACCCTGCAGAGCCCTTAGGAAGAGTGTGAAAATAAACCTAACCATTTTCTCCAGAAGGCACAGGGTCAGGTGTGAAGAGTGACCTGACACTTGAGAAACCCCACAGCGTCCTACACAGAGGAAAAGAGAAACTCAGGTGTTAAGTTTCTCTGTGGTGTCTGAAGCTCCCCTTCCTCCAGGCTGAGCCCCAGTCACCTCTTGCCCATGCAGGATCCCACTTCTGATTTCCTCTCCTTTTCCCCCTCCCTTGACCCCAAATCTCTTTCCCCAAAGATCCTTGGGGTTGGGAGAAGATCCGATATCAGCCACCTACACTTTGGCATAAATGAGTCTCCACTACCACACTTCCTGTCTGGTACATTTGCTTGTTAGCTTATCGCTCATGTGCAGATAGAAGACTAGGTCATGGGGTGATAGCACACACTTGTAACCCCAGCATTCCTGAAGGCTGAGGCAGAAGGACCACATGTTTGAGTGCACCTAAAGAGCTTACTTACGTGGTGAAACCCTTACTCAAAACAGAAAAACAGGGCTGCGAACGTAGCTTGGTGCAAAGGTGTGGGGCTCAGTCCCTAATAACACACACATACACACACACACACACACACACACACACACACACACACATACACACACACACGCATGCACGCACAAAGGAAGCAACAAGGTGCTAAGCAAGGTAGCTTAGGAGTCATCAAGCAGGGGGTGGGAAGCCTCTGAGATCACTCTCTATTACTAGCTACCTAAAGCAGAGCCATCCTCGGCTGTGTGACATTAAACAAGTCACTGTCCCTTCCTGGACTCTGGAACTAAGGAGATTGGACTATGACCTTTAAAATGGCCTGGGCTCTGGAATTCTGTGACCCAGCTCCTTGCTGCCAGGGCCTCTGTGAGGAGGAGGCCTTGGGAACAGCCAGGGTTTTTGGTTTCTGAACTAGAGATAACTCGACTCCCCCACACTCCCTGCAGCTCGCCTCAGCCCCTTCCCTTCCTCCTGACCTGTGTCTCCAGGGGGAAGATCAAACAAAGGAGTTGCAGAGGGTGGTGGAATGCTCTGTTTGGTTAAAGTCCCAGGCTGGCTGAGATTACAGAGGTCCTGTTTAGGCTCATGGAAGCATGGGAATGCGGGGAGGGGTCCTGGTCCCGTGCTCAGGCACAGCCCCTCCTCTATACTGGCATGCAAGACACTTGCCATGAAGATGCTTTGCCTCTGTGGCGACTGCTGAGGCCTGTCCTCGACCCCCGCCCCAGCCATGTGCCCCACCTCCCTAAGAGGGCTCCCTCCTTCCTTCTCTTTTTTTTGAGACAGGATCTTACTAGGTCACCATCTTGTTATCTTCTTGCTTCAGTCTCTCAAGTGCCGAAGATTACAGCCCACCATGTCCAGCTGAAAACAAAACCCAAAAAAGTCTTTTAAAGGTTATGGCTAATTCTCCATTCGGTGTCACCGTAACACTCAGGAAGCCATCTGTCTGTATTTTCCTCATGGTAACTGGCAAAAGACTGGGCCTGGCATGTTTCCTACAGAACAGGAGAATAAAGAGCCTGTGCAGGTACTTTTATGTCATTTAGCAACCTTGATAAAGCTACTAGACCTCAAAACTAGGACTAAAAATACCTGTTTAGAGTAGCTGATAAGGAAGGTCTGGAACTCTGGGCATGCAAACATGATTTGTAGACGTCAAAGTGTTTTGCCACTTGCAAGCCATCAGGAACACTGTTATGTTATTGATACTACATGAGCAATCAAAGGCCCAGAGAGGCCGGGTGATGTGCTCAGGTGACCAGGGAGCCAATGACATTGACACCAGGCCAGCTGATGCTGCTGCGCAGGCTGCCGGACTTCCCTGCCCCTTCATACTCTTAGCACAGAAGAGCAGGGGTGCTTTGTTTCCCACCCGACCCCCTCAGAGCAGGCTAGCTGGATCCCGGTGAGTGCCCTGTGCTATGGGGTGGAGGTGACCACCAACTCAGGCTGGATCCATCTAAGAACTGCGCTGCCTTCTGGGCGTGATGTACCTGCACTCAGCCTGTTCGGCAGTGGCCACAGGAGGCCAGTTGACAGAGTGGGAACAGCAGTGTAGACCACCCTGTAGCAGACACTTTCCCCACCTCTATCACTGTGAAGGTCCCTACGGCCATGATAGACAGTCCACCTCTAATGCCCACCTTCTCCTGATAGAGTATTCTGGTGCAATAAAGAAGTAAAAGTACAAAACAAACAGGTTTATTGAGGTGAGGACGTGGAAAGGAGCACAGGACCCTTGGCAGCTGGGCTCTCTCCTTCGACCGGAATATGGGGAATGGGACATATGCAACCTCTGACCGGGGTGGTGCTTAGGACAGGCGTTGATGACATGGGAGGAGCTGATTGGAATTTTCTTCCCATGCACTGGGAAAGGAAAAGGAAGTTTAACAGGGGAAGGAGGAAGTGACCTCAGGGTAAACATCCCTAATTTGGCCTTCCACCGCCATAATGTCCTGTAGTTTATTCTAGGGCAAAACTCTTTCAGAAATGAACAGCCGAGATGCACACTGCAGCCAGTGAGGAGCCGGTCCATCTGTTATTATGTTCTCTTTGTAGTCCCTCAGAAGGTCCCAAGGAATAAGAGCCTGCTCATCAACACCTCATTTTTACTGGTTTTGCTCACTTCCCTGCTCCTTCATCCCAGACTTCCTGGGCTGTTTCTCAAATAAAACAATGGGCCCTAAGTCTTCCTCTCAGCTCTGGGAGCCCTGAGGGCAGACGTCTGTCTCAGGTTCTCCAAGTGGGGAGAAGGTGAGTCCTGCCCACACACCACCTCACTGGCCCATTCCACAGCTTTCCAGCAGGTTCCCTGCAAAGGCACCCAGATTGGGCCCTGGGAGCCAAGATGTAGCCCCAGCTGGTGAGGTCACAGGCACAGCACAAATTTAGCTGCACCCCCACTCCTGTCTGGTTTAGTCATCAAATCAGCCAGTCAGAAGCAGCAAGGCCACCTGTGTGAGGCAGCAGAGAGGCCTCAGGCCCATTCTCTTGGTCCATCCACATTTATAACTTCGTGTCTGAGGGCTAACGTGACCTGCCTCAGTGAGAAAATGGAGAGGAAGCCCCTTCACTGTCAGGGGCTGAACCAGTCATCGCTTAGGGCATTCCAGGTCTGAGCAGCCAGTGTAAGAAAGGGCCCCTGCCTCCTACCACAAAAACCAGCAGCTCCCCCAAGACCCAAGCCACCCGTCCCTGGTGGGACTCTGATGGGGTAGGAGTGAAAGTGTCACAGCACACAGTGGAATTTCTCCCCTTAAAAGAAACATAGGATGGAAAGGAAATTGAAAAAACAAAACAAAACACAAAACTTGGCTATAAAGTAGCTGACCCGGCTCCTCCCTGTGGAGAGTAATTGGATCCCTGGCTCTGCGCCCAGAGGCCCCTTCCCCACCAGGTCCAGTCAGGGTCCCAGGTTCTAGATCACAGCCCCCAGAGCATAGCACCAAGAGGGCATCTGCCTGCTGGCCTGGCACAGCCTTATCGGCACCCGATGCACAGAATGTCCTGGGAAGGCTGGAGGTGGGCGATGACACTTTCTCTTGGCACTGATGGGATGGCAGCAGTGAAGGTTCACTCCCATAGACTCCAAGCCGGGGGCTGAGGAAGAGTTCTGCAAGCCATGTCCCAGGGAAGAGGCAGGTGCACCTACAGGGTGGACACTGGGTCAGCACGAGTCATGACACCAAGAGGCTGGGCAGCGGGCCTGGCCAGGTCCAGGGTGCCGGGCCCATGCAGAGCCTCTGCCTGCAGTCAGCTTCTCTGTGATCTGCCATATTGCATAGGACACTGGGCAGCTGTTGGAGGAAGTGGAGCAGCTGCATCTCCTCCTGCAAAGATACTAAAAGCACGGTTGGTTGTGGACCTAGTGTGGCCTCCTGGACTCCCTGGCTTGCTGGGGTAGCTTCCTTCCTGCTGTGTTCTGCCTGTCTCTCTTATCTGCACCATGAATAACAGGAAAGTGGAGTTTCCCATTTACCGTCCTCAAAGTCCAGTAGTTTCCCCCCTCTAGCACAGCACTTTGGGGAAAATCACCACCAGACTTGTACCCTCTTTGTGCTTGTTTCTCTCCAGTACATCCAGAGCAGACAATAGGCATCCATCCAATGTGCTCCCCATTCAGGTCAGAAGTGCACTCTCAGCAAAGAATATTCAAGATAAATAGCCTAAAGAACTGAGAGAACTTGGACTGCATACTCCACACCATGTGGCCCTTGTACCTCTGCCTTAGTCTGGGCTGCTGGAGCTAAGCACGCAGACTGAGAGGCTTATTGGCTACAGAAGTTTCTTGCAGGTCTTCGGACTAACCCTTTGAGCTAAGAGTGCCAGCATGGGTGGGTTCTGAGGAGCAGACTGCCAACTTCTTGCATCCTATTCTGGCAGAAAGACGTGTAGGGGCAAGGTGCGGTGGTGCCTGCCTGTAATCCCAGCACTTGGGAGGCTGAGGCAAGGGAACTAACAGGAGTTAGGGGCCAGCCTGGGTTACACAGTGAGTTCAGCGTCTGAACTACATAGCAGGACCCTATCTCCAAAACAAAAACAAACAAAGAGGTGTGGGGTCCTTCTACAGGGACACAAATCCCACTCATGAGGTGGAGTCTCACACGCAGGGCCTCTACCTCACTGAATGGCACTCCACCTCAGGGCCTAACATCTCCCAGAGGCCCCGCCTCCCAACAGCACTGCACTGGGAGTTCAGGATTTACACATGCAGTGTTTTCTCTCCCTTCCCACCCAGTCCTCAGCACTAGGAATTGCGTCCAGGGCCTTCTCACTGCTATAATCCTACTGCGGCTTTTCATTTTTTTATTTTGATATACGGCCTTGGTAAGTCTCTAAATTGCCCAGGCTGGGCTCAGACTTGCAGTCTTCCTACCTCAGCCTCTGAGAGTGCTGGGACTAAGACCTGCATTATTCGCCTGTCTCAATATTGAGTTTTGCAGAGGTATAAAAAATTTGTAATAAGGGCTGGGGATTTAGCTCAGCAGCATAAGCACCTGCCTTGCAAGTAGGCAGTCGTGAGTACAATCCCCAGTACCGATAAAAAAGAAAAAGACAAAACAAAAAAAACCAAAAAGTCTGTAACAAACATTATGGGATCATAATACTATCTGTACCTTGCAAAGGCCCACCCTGTAATAGAATCCATGTTTTCAGAATCCGAGGGATTCCGAAAGAGAGATTTCCTGACTTCCTTCTCCTCTGGTGTGGGAGCCGCAGCACTGATTAGAAGCTTCAGCACTGACCCACACAGAGAGGGGCTGTCGTCCTTGGTGAATTATCTTTAACAGAGTTAACTATGACACAGAAGTATTTAGGGTGTGTAAAAGATGTTAGGGCCAACAGGACCAAGAGCCCCACTTCTAGCCTAACCCTAAAGGAATTTCAAGGCAGACAGAGGTAGGGAACTGGATTAGAACAGTCTGAATTTTAATCAAAGTTCCAAACACCAGGGTCCATGTTTCTCTAAATTTCCACCAAAGAACTCTTTATAGTTGCAAAGAGAAGTGTGTAGTGCCAAGAGGTCTAGATATGTATATGCATTTGGCTTTCTGCTAGTTGAAAATTTCTTAGAACAAGCTTGTGTTCTCATAAAAATTCCTGCTGGTTCTTACATTCTGTGCCAAAACATATATATGTTTAATTTTAAATACTGAAGAAAAAAAGGCCTTGTCTCTCCACCTGCAATAAAATCTTTAAGTTGGCTCTTCTAGAAGATGCAGCGTTGAGCCTGTGGCTTCACACTCTGCCCGTCCTCTTGCCCACACTCTCCTTCAGGGTAGTGCCGCCCCAGTTGGAAAGCCTGGGACGTGATCCTGAGTGACCCTGCTGCCTCTCTCAGCCCATGACGCCCACCCTGCTTTGTTAATCTGCTGTCCATTCCACATCCACGGCACATATAAAATGCCACCAGAGTGAGCAAGACCCCGACGCCCACCCCCACCCCACTCATGCTCACCTGAAAGCCTGGGTCACTGTTCAGCGAGACAAAGGGGTTTTCAAGGCCAAAGTGACTTGGATACCATGTTACCCAGGAATCTCAGGTGGTAAATGACAGAAATGACTCTGAGTAACCTATCTGGGAACTACACTATTGGATCATGTGAGACAAAAGAACGCTGAAGGAAAAGCTAAAGTTCCTAGTTCTAATGTAAAAAGAATCTGGAAAAGAAGAATTCTCTGGTAGTTATCTCAAGATAGAGCCAGAAATAGGATGAATTGGCTCTAAACATCTTTTGTTTTGTATGATCTGCTTGAGATTCAAGTACTTCTTTAAAAAAAAAAAAAAAGCCTGAAGTTCTTATGAAAGATCACATTGACTAATTTGTATCTTATGCCATTTCCTGACCAGGGGTCCTGGAGGGTCCCTCGGTGGGCAGTGTGATGGCTGAGGTGGATCATTAACCTGATTAGCTTTGGAGTGCCCCAGGGTCTAATAAAGCACACTTCTAGATGTGTCTGGGTGGGTCATGGAGGTAGAATCTTACAGCCTGTATTTGGTCCTTTTGTCTGGTTCCTTTGTCTCTAGTACTCTTCCTCTGCTTCCTGGCTGCTATGAACTAAGCTGCGTTGCTTTGCCACACACTTTTGCCATGATGTTCCTGCCTTGGAACCAGCCGATCATGGACTGCATTGCCTGAAACCATGAGCAAAAATAAGCCCTTTCTTCCTTTAAATTGCATATGTTGAGTATTTAGATCAAGTGATGAAAACTAGACTAATACAGAAAACCTGGCACCAGGAGTGGGGCCACTGATACAACTCTACTTAGTCATATGGATTAGAGGCCTTTGGAACTGGTCTGCAGAAAGAGTTTGGAAAGGTTTAAAGAAGTCAGCTGGAGAGGACCTTCAATTCTTTTAGTAGAGCCTAATGAACAATTCTGATCAGTGCTCAGATGACTAAAATGCTGACAGGAACATGGAGAACAGAGGTCAGGCTCAGGAGGTTTCAGTTAGGAATAGAAATCCTGTTGGATAGTGGCCTAGAGGCCATATATTTAGCTGTCTGGCAAAAAAAGAAAAAAAAAAGCCTATTATTTTTCCATGTTCTGACACTTTGCAGAAGACTGAATTCAAGGATAGTGAACTCACTGTCCTAGTGGAGGAAATTTCAAGGCAGCTCAATGTTTAAACTGTAGCATGATTACTGGTGGATACTTTTAGCCAGATTTATAGTGAAAAGCATAGATGAAAAGTAAAGCAGAAAACTGAAAAATTTAAATTTTGGCCAAAAAAGAATTGTGTTAAGTTTTGGGGAAAAGAAGTGTGGTTGCTAAAGAGATTAGCACCATTACAAAGAAACCAAGTACAGTGGACCCTTGAATTACAACTAGCATGACATATGAACAACTTGGGTTATGACCAGAACTGTAGTGTTAACTTAAAACCAAAGTCCTGACGTATGACCCAAATACTGGATGCTTGTGCTTTGAGTTGGTCTCAGATATAGATTTAACCCATAAAGAATTCTGGAAGGAACATTACATCATTTCATGTGTGGGGTTAAGTGAGAAGTCCTGGGCCAGTGTCTCTCTAAGGACACTGAGATCTGCCTGTATATAGGAGAGAGACTTTAAAGGCTGTGTAGAGGAGCCTGAACCTTCAACTGACACTTGAGTTACAACCAGCTTTCCAAAATGAATTGAGTTCATAAGTCAAGTGTCCACTGTAGCCTGAAAAGAAAGGTGGCTTAGCCAGGCATGGTGGTGCATATCTGTACTACCAGAACTCTAGAATGCTGAACCAGAAGGATGATAAATTCAAGCTCAACTTGGATAGTTTGGCAGGACCCTTTATCAAAAGAAAAAAATGAGGCCTGGCATGTTGGCACATGCCTGTAATCCCGGCACTCAGGAGGCTGAGGTAGGAGGATCACTGTGAGTTCAAAGACAGCCCGGGCTACAAAGTGAGTTCAAGGGCAGCCTAAACTGCATAGTGACACCCTGTCTCAAAAAGACAAAAAAAAAATCACTTTCAAGGCCAGATGGAACTACATGGCAAGACCCTGCATCAAAAAAGAAAGAAAGAAAGAAAGAAAAAAGAGAGAAAAATGGGTAAGGCATTGGGGATGTAACTCAGTGTGAAGGCCCTGGGTTTAAAGCTCCTGAAAAGTAAGCAGACAGAGATAGAGATAGAGATAGAGATAGAGATAGAGATAGAGATGATAGAGATAGAGAGAGAGAGATAGAGATCCTTGAGGTCTTCTCAGAAATCAGAAAATACCCACAAATCCCTGGATCTAGGTCAGTTTTTTATTTGGTAGACTCTCTGAGATCCCTGCTTGAGAAGGGCTTTGTAGGGTATTGGGTTACCTGGAATTCATTTCACTGTGCTCAGCCATTTAGATATTTAGTCATAACTCCAAGGGGCCTGACTACTCTTCCTACTATCAGTAGATGCAGGCATTATTCATTTGATGGTTGCTTTATCTGTGCACAGGATGCAAGAGTGTGGGGTCAGTAAGGCTTCCATCCAGATTTCAAAGGAAGGCCTGGGAAGCTAGACAAGGAGCCTCCGTGGAAGCAGGATGTGAAACTGTGGGAATGAAGTTGCAGTGAAGATCTCAGGAAGCTGGAAATGCTGTGATGAGGAAAGTTGCAGAGAGTGGGCAGGGTCAGCCTAAGAGAGAAGCTGTGTAGGCTGTAACCAGAAAGACCCAGGTAGGGTCACCAAAATGCATGTATCTCACATCTCACCACCATGTACCTCAGACACTGAACATGATGTTACAGGACTTAATGTTTGCCCTGCTGGGTTTTGGCCTTGGTTTGGTCCCATTCTTTTCTACCTATCCCCACAGTTTCTCCCTTTTGGAATGGAAATGTTTGTGCTGTGCCATTATACTTCCGTGTTATACAACTTTAAAAAAAAAAAAAAACAGGATTCACAGTTAAGTTTGCCTTGAATGTCAAAGACTTGGACCTTTTTTTTTTTTTAAAGCAACGCTGGTACTGTTGATCCCTAAAGGGAAGGGAATATTGTGCTTTAGTTACATGCAGGATAGCTGTGTTGTGCCAGGTGGAATTATAACCTTGTGTTTACTTGGCAATTAAGTATGATTTTAGGAACTGTGTTTGGGTATAAGTTGACAAGGGATGAGACGTCATGATTAAGGTGGATTATCAGCTAGATTGGATTAGGAGTAGCCCAGCATCTTTCCACTTTGTTACATCCCCAGGCTCTTATTTATTCTTTTATTTTGAGACAGGGTCATGCTAAATTGTCCGGTCTGGTTTCGAACGTGCGACCCCCCTACCTCAGCCTCCCAGAGTCCTGGGTTCCTGGCATCTCCACTCTTTGCCTTTCCATGCTTCCACCATGGGATGATGCAATAAGAAGGCCCTCAAGAGATGTGAGCCCTTCAGCCTTGGACTGCTCAGCCTCCACAACTGAAAGGAAGGAACCTCTGTTCTTTATAAATTACCCTAGTCTCTGGTATACTGTGAGGGTTGCACAAGATTAGCTAATTCTGACCACTTCTGTGTGGAACATAAAGGCTCAGCCCGGCCTCTTGTCAGCAGGGTGTCTCTGCAGAGCTACCCTGGCTCCCGGCCTCCCTGTGGGATCTTCTGAGGCTTCTGTAGCAAGGCCATCACAGCCTAGCCCCACTGCCTGCATCCCAATCTATCTCAGAGTCTGTTCCCAGGCAACCTGCAAATGAAAGGCCATTTAATCGCTTTTTCCTAGGCTCCTTATCTATATAAGGTAGGTACTGAAGAACCTCGACGTAGAGTCAGGTCTGGATTAATCTTAGATCTACCACTTGCCAGCTCTGTGTTTGGGGGTAATTTAGTCAGTCTCTCTGAGACTCAGCTGTCCATCTGGTAAAATAGGAATAGGGCCAAGGATATAGCTCGGCAGTGTAAGCACCTGCCTGGCAAGCAGAAGGTCCTGAGTTTGATTCCTGGTACCAACAATAAACAAACAAACACAACAACCTGGAATAACAGATGCCCAGCCCACTTGCAGCATCAGCCCAGCTAGGAAGCTGTTTCGTGTGAGCTCAGACTCATTTGATGCTGGCAGTGGCTCAAAATCTCTTCTTCATACTCTTACTTTGAGGAGGATGTGCCCAGACCACTAGACCTCTGTACACGTCAGCAATGGGCCAGGGCCCTAAATCTGGATGGGATTTATTTCCCACCTTCTGGAGTGACCTTGGAGTCACTGTGTACTTGGCACTTGTTGCTTATTTGGTGTCATTAGCACGATGTAACTGATCTGGTGGGCTAATGTGACATTCTGTGGAGTATCCAGATGGTCCAGGTCCCTTTGGACTGGATTATGATAGAAGGCAGGAGATTTAACGTTGCCCAGATGAAGATGCAGTATATCCATGGTCTGCTCCAAGTGACTATGCGCTATTTTTGACTCTCCTTTCTAACAGGGCAGAAAAGAAAAGTAAGAAATTCATATCATGTACCATCTTCTCCAGGAATGATGCTGTCTAGCACAATAGCAACTACTGAGGCTACTGCTTGGTGCAGTCTATGGTAGTTTATACCTTTTAAATGGTTTATTTATTTTTGGAGACAGGACCTCGCTATGTAGTATAGGCTGGCCTTGAACTCACTATGTAGCCAAAAATGGCCTCAAACTCACCGTGATCCTCCTGATTCAGCCTCCTGTGTGCCACCATACCTGGCTGTGCTACCACGCCTGGAGGTAGTTCACTCTTGTCCTTTATCACAGGGCTCTGCCGTCTGTAGTCAGCAGCTCAGGCCCAGGAACAAGGGGAGGAACCATGGTATTTCACCGGGGGGGGGGGGGCTGCTTTCTTCTGATTTTCTAAATTAAGTGATATATTGCTGTTGTAGTTGTTGCTGTTGTTGGTTATTGTTGTTGTTGTTTTGGTCTTTTTTGAGGCAGAGTTTCACTGTATGATTGAGCCTGGCCTTGAACTCACTTTGAAGCCCAGGCTGGCCTCGAACTCATGGTGCCCTTCTTGCCTTAGTGTCCCGAGTGCTGGGATTACAGGTGTGCGCCACCGCACTCAGCTTGAGATATACTGTGGGCCACTCATCTGTCTTTCTGCTAGGAACAATGGGTTCTAACCCTCTGACAGAATCTAACATCTTGGCAAGAAACCTGTGTGTGTGTGGCGGGGTGTGCTGACACACTCTGAAGGTGTTTTTAAAAGCTTAGAAAAGCAGAGCTCCCCCTGTGGGCCAGGTCCTCCCGCCCCTCTAATTTCACTGCTCATTGCAAATGCACCCGCTGGGCTCTAAATCTGAAGGACTTTCCTAAAGTGGCCTAGAAGGTCAGTATTTCGGCCTTTGCCTCACAGACTATTCACTCTGATTCTGTCATTACCAAATTAATGGGCTGGCAATAGTCATCCATTTCTCCACAGCTCCACAGCCACAACTTTCCTCAACTGCCAGAGCTATTGCATCAGCCAGTAGGGCTCCTTCTAACTCTTCCCATCCGCTGGAGATAAAAGATGTAACTTTTTCCCCATTGCTAGGTTCATGGCTGAGACCACTAAAAAAAAGGAGAGAGAGAGATTAGCAAGAGGAAACATACAAATTTACATAATATGAGTTTTATGTGACTCAGGAGACTCTGGGAATGAAGATCAAGGAAACAGAAGTTTATGTGTTTTTATGCTGGGTCTGGGGACGGTGGACAGTCAGGCAGAAGTGTGACTGGACAAATCGGGTATGGCCTAATGGTAATAAACTGAAGGAATTTAGCCAGGCCTGTTTGTTCAGATTCTTCTTGGCAGTCCTATGTGACATCCTCTCCCTCGGGTATAAGGCTGGACACCTGTCACATGAGGGGCTTCAGGGCAGAAGGGTGGGGAAAGGTCAGAATTACCTACATAATTTTCATGGCCTGCTTCAGGGCAGAAAGGAGAGGGGAAGATGGGCGTGATCTTCTTGCTCGGCTGTTTCTCAGTTTCCAAGGTGTCGTACTTAGGGATGACATTTCCCATACCCTATCACACCTGTCTGCCTGCAGTGCAAGTTTTAACAATTGATGGGACAGCAAGCCTGGTGCCATTCTAACTTCTCTTACATAGCTCCCTGAGAGTTGGCTGGCGAGTGATCCTTCTCCCAGCAGCCACTGTCTTAAGTTTGGGTTCCCTGGAAGCAGACTCCAACATGGAGAATTGTCTGCAGGCTTATTCTGTGGTGCTCTTGGGAGACACACCTATAATTAAGTAAGAAGAGAGATTGGGAAGAGAGAAGATGACCCTCAGTGTGCAACCAGGCCTCAGCCAATCCTACAGGGAGCTCTGAGCCAGATAGTCCTTCAGAGGGTCCCATATTGCGGACAAGAGCCAAGTCTTTATACCCATATTGGCCAACCACTGACTGGCCAAGGGCAATCTTTAGCAAGAGAAGAGGTTGCAAGCCATCTGTAGCCAATATTTCTGTTGGGAGCCGCGTCTGTGATAGCTCGCCTTGCGCGGCGGACGTGCGGCCTGTGGTAAAGAGCAAAGCCTGAGGTAGATTACCCCTCCCATCGAATATGTTAGTTTCCTGCTTACCGCGTAAACAACCCGCTCAACAATATAGTCTGCCTGGCAACTGATGATGTTAGCCAATCAGCTTGCCTTGCTTACTTTAACATGATTGGACACTGTACCCGTATATATACCGGTGCCACCCCTGGGCGGAAGAAAAAGCCAGGTAGAAGCCCGGAAGTAGAAGCCCAGAAGGAGCCGCGGAGAGCGGACCGGTAGAGGCTTCGGAGCGAAGCCCGGAAGGAGCCGCGGGGAGCGGACCAGAGGAGGCTTCGGCTGGGAGCGATCCCAGGGCAGGCTGTACGGAGAAGGAAAATAAAAAGAAAAGGTTGTCCACTACCAGACTTTGTCGTGTGTCCTTCCTGCCGGCCGGGAGCGGACATCGACATTTGGAGGCCCGCCCGGGGACTGATCACCCCCGAGACATGGAAGTGGACAACGCTCCAGTACAGAGCTGCGAGACAGGTGAGTTGGGGATAAGCCTGGGCTCTGGGTGGCGTGCACCTACAGGGCTTTTAGACTCCCCTCAGGCTCACGCGTAAGTGGCGGATTCCTTGGGCCTCACGCGGTGAGTAACATATTAAAAAATGGGAAACATGCTAGGTAGCAACACTAAGAGCGAGGGTGGTTGTGGAGAAAGCTCTCAAGAGCTTACAAAAGTACGCAGGGTATCTGAGCAGGCCCAGTCGGGGAGCTCCCGAGAGGGGCCCGTCAAGGGGAACAAAGATGCTAAGGAGAAGGACGGGGCTCTAGCCTCGGAGTCGTCTGACTCCGAGGACGAGGGAAAGTTGAATGGCAAGGAGGCCAAAGAGACCAGCTGTCAGGAGCCCAAGTCGCTCGATAAGGAGTCACAGGGTTCTTTTCCAGCGTTGCGCCGCGAATTGCGCTCTGCTCAACCTGGTCTGCGGAGGAGTAGAGAGCTCCTGAGCGCTCCCCGGCGCGAGAGGGAGGCGATCCCTCGCCACGAGGCGGCCGCCTGGGAGCTCCCTCCCCTTTCGCCAGAACAGGAAGTGATGCACGGGCCCCCATTTTCCGCCCAATCACGGCCGCCGTCTTATGCTCCGCCGCCGGCGGGTCGGTATTTTTACAGGCGGCTTTGGCAGGGGGGACGCTTGTCTCATGAGGTACATCCACCTGGGATAGATAGTGGCCCCTACGGGATATTTCCTGTACAAGTAGCTATGGGCCAGGGACGCAATGTATGGGAGCCTTTTGAGATAAAGCAGATTAGAGAACTTAAAAATGCAGTTACAACCTTTGGGCCGACTGCGCCTTACACCATTGCCATGCTGGAGAATCTGTCTTCTGGGCCCCTCACCCCCGAGGACTGGATTCAGCTGGCAAAGGCGTGTCTGCCCTCGGGCAGTTACCTAGATTGGCGAGCCTGGTACGCAGAGTTCTCTGCAGAGCAGGCTGAGAGAAACGCCAATCGGGGAAACCGGGGGTGGAACAAGGAAATGCTTATGGGAGAAGGTCGGCACGCTGATGACCAGACTCAGTTCCCCGGCGCTGTCTATGAACAAATCAATGCCATAGGGCTCCGCGCCTGGAAACAGGTAAGTGGTGCCGGAACTGCCTCCTTGTGTCTTTCAAAAATAATTCAGGGTACCACAGAGCCATTTGTTGACTTTGTGGCCCGAATGCAAGATGCTGCCGATAAGATATTTCCTGATCCGGGAGTGGCTCAACCGCTGGTAAGGCAGCTGATTTTTGAGCAATGTACAAAGGAGTGCAAGGCAGCGATAGCTCCTCATAAGAACAAGGACCTCAACGCCTGGATTAGGATATGCAGAGAGATAGGGGGGCCGCTCTCCAACTCGGGAGTGGCTGCTCTCCTGGCCGCGGCTGTACAGCAGAGGGGACCTCGCGGGTTAGAAGGGGAATGTAAGGCTAAAGGGTGTTTTGCCTGCGGGGAGCCAGGACACATTAAACGTCATTGCCCAAACAATGCAGATGCTAGGCCTCGTCCTAGGAATGAAGAACCATATGTTTGTGGGCGATGCAAGAAGGGATCACACAAAGCTGAGGAGTGTAGGTCGGTCTTTGATGCTCAGGGCAACCGTATTTGTGGACGAGATGCTAGAGGGCCAAAAAACGGCCAGAGGGGGCCCCCTTCACAGGCGGGCCCCCGCCCCAGAGACAGGACAGCTCAGGATGGCAGCCTTCAACAAGGGCCACCCCTGGGTCAGCAGGTGTGGACCTCAGTGTCGCCTCCAGACTTATACAGAAGGTCACCATTAGGACAGATGGCGTTAGGACCCTAAATGACATGCAAAAACTATTGGGAGACATTAATTGGATTAGGCCATATTTACATATACCAAATTCAGATCTCAAACCCCTGTTCGACCTTCTGAAGGGAGACCCAGATATAGCCTCCCACAGGAGGCTCACTCCTGAGGCAAGAGCTGCCTTACAGAGAGTGGAAAAAGCCTTAGGTGGGGTTACCTTACACAGAATTGAACCAGGGCGACCCTTTGATGTCTGTTTGCTACAGACTAGTCTACAGCCTACAGCGGTGATTTGGCAGAAAGGACCACTACTGTGGATACACCCTAAGGTCTCACCTGCAAAAGTCATAGAGCATTACCCGGAGGCAGTCGCTTCATTGGCCCTTGAAGTGCATGATAGAGCTGTCCAACATTTTGGCTCAGGACCACAAGCCATCCGAGTACCCTATACCGCCAGCCAGATCAAGACCCTGGCTGCCTGCATAGATACCTGGGCCATTCTGAGATGTGTTTTCCATGGGGATATAAACAATCAATACCCTAAAGACCCTATCTTGTCATTTGTCACTCAGCACCCTATAATTTTTCCAAAGGTTACTGCCTCTGAGCCATTAGTCCTAGCAACTACAATATACACAGATGGCTCCAAGACGGGGATAGGCGCCTATGTGATCCTAGGCAAGCCCCCGGTTACCATACAATTTGAACCAGATCAGCCTCAGGTGGTAGAACTGCAGATCGTTAAAATGATTCTTGAACGGTTCTCAGAAGCCATTAATATTGTCTCCGATTCTAGGTATGTGGTCAATGCTATGCAAGTGCTTGAGACTGCCGGTTTAATTAGATCCACTTCCACAGTGGCTGGACTGTTCCTGTCTATCCAGACATTGCTTCAGAACAAACACCATAAGGTCTTCACCACCCACATAAGAGCACATACATCCCTGCCGGGGCCCATGGCACAGGGGAATGCGGCTGCTGACACTGCCACTCGCCCGTTATGGATTTTTACCTTACTAACACCAATCGAGCGAGCCCGTGCCTTCCATGATAAATTTCATGTTAATGCCAGGACACTAGCAAACCATTTCCATGTTTCTAGAGCAGATGCACGAGATATCGTGCGACTATGTGACTCCTGTGCCACATACAAACCTGCCATACCGATGGGAGTAAACCCTCGAGGTTTGATCCCTGGTGATGTTTGGCAGATGGACATCACACATATACAGGAGTTTGGGACTCTTAAATATGTTCATGTTTCCACAGACACCTGTTCTCACGTCATATTTGCAACAGCAGAAACAGGTGAAAAAGTGTCTAATGTGATCAATCATTGCCTGGCGGCTTGGGCCGCATGGGGCAAACCAAAAATATTAAAAACTGATAATGGACCAGCCTATATAGGCAAAGCCTTCAATGAGTTCTGCAAAATGATGGAGGTTCAATTAAAACATGGTATCCCATACAATCCCCAAGGTTAAGGAATCATTGAGAGGGCTCATAGAAGCCTCAAAGAAATTTTACAAAAACAAAAAGGGGGAGTAGGCCAAGGCCTGGCCCCAAAGGCACGATTATCCATGGCACTATTCACACACAATTTTTTAAATTTAAATAATGATAATCGCTCCCCAGCTGTGGAGCACTGCAACCCTTCCCCCAACCATAAAGGGTGGGTGAAGTGGAAAGATGTCCTGACAGGACAATGGATGGGCCCGGATCCAGTGGTCAGCTGGAACCGAGGCGCGGTTTGTGTTTTCCCACAGGAACCGGGACGAGAACCACTGTGGATACCGGAGAGACTGACACGGGCAACAAAGCCCTCGACTGAAGATCAGACCTGCCCTACTGGAGATCCATCACAGACCAACCAATAAGATGAATAGAAATAGCGGTAGCCCGAAATGGACAAGAAGATCCTCAGGCATATGCATGGCTTGCTCAATTGGCCCACGACCAAGTCTAGATATGGCGGGCATCCCTCATTCTCCTCCATAAGGTGACAATACACAGCAGGGTAGGTGAGTCAATGACGGGTAAGAGCGTGCCTCCCCAGCACGACTCGACCTAAGCCAGGCCCTACCCCATCCTGCACGTAAGCCGCTGGACTGTTAGATGCTGCCCAGGTCTAAATTTCTCTCCGAGGGGATTTCTTTACGGAGAGGAAATGAGTGCAAGCTTGTGTGCATCCAGGTTCCGTCCAGTTTGTGCCTGGCCCTAGAAAAAGGACGAGGGCCTCAGGGCCTTGGCAGACCATGGCATGGCCAACCAGGGTCTAAGCCAAGGACCTACGGTGGACCTACACATAGGGCATAAGCCTCTGCACCCAGTCCAGGAAGGGCTACGATGCGCACATTCATAAAAAATAAAATAGGGGGAGATGTTGGGAGCCGCGTCTGTGATAGCTCGCCTTGCGCGGCGGACGTGCGGCCTGTGGTAAAGAGCAAAGCCTGAGGTAGATTACCCCTCCCATCGAATATGTTAGTTTCCTGCTTACCGCGTAAACAACCCGCTCAACAATATAGTCTGCCTGGCAACTGATGATGTTAGCCAATCAGCTTGCCTTGCTTACTTTAACATGATTGGACACTGTACCCGTATATATACCGGTGCCACCCCTGGGCGGAAGAAAAAGCCAGGTAGAAGCCCGGAAGTAGAAGCCCAGAAGGAGCCGCGGAGAGCGGACCGGTAGAGGCTTCGGAGCGAAGCCCGGAAGGAGCCGCGGGGAGCGGACCAGAGGAGGCTTCGGCTGGGAGCGATCCCAGGGCAGGCTGTACGGAGAAGGAAAATAAAAAAAGGTTGTCCACTACCAGACTTTGTCGTGTGTCCTTCCTGCCGGCCGGGAGCGGACATCGACATATTTCCATCATGTGAAAGCAGACTATGGTCCCCAAAGAAGTAGCCAAAAGGAGCATTGCTACATATCCACTATAACACCCATCTCATCCAGGACTAGTACAAAATGAATGAAATCTGTTACAGCTTAGGAAAAATGGAGAAAAAGAGAGCACAGTAATATTCTAGGCACATAACATTGCTATAATCCAACACTGTGTAGTAATATTTCAATCCAATATAGACCACGTAGCTGATGGTGACTTCATAGGTCTACAACTGAGGTAGGTGGAAAATTCCTACCATGTCGCACTTTTTTTTTTTTACTGTATTTTTCTATGCTTAGATTCACAGTGTGTTCCGGGTGCCTATGGAATTCAGTACAGCAACACAGTGTGTACTATGTCACCGAGATGTGCAGTAGGCTATAACAGGTAGGTGTACACAAGTGCACTGTGACATTCACACAGCTAAACTGCCCTATGATGCATTGCTCAGAACATATCCCTGCCCTGAAGCATCTGTGTTTATAGTAGTAACAATAACTAGGATCTGTGGAATAATCCTAAACCAGACCAAATCCTAGGCAAAATTATTGACCTCTAATTGCATGAACTATAAATATGGCAATTTCATGTGGCTTAATCTGATAATTAACAAGAACACTGAACAACTGAGTGTCTGTTCTATGGATCTTACAGGATTATTCTAATTATAGATAAATTTATGGAAAAATTTGTAAAGTGAAAAATTGACATAAGAGATTACTGGCATTATTTCTACAACAACATTATCTACTAGTTATGTTCAGGCCTCCTCAGCCAAGAGTAATAACTGTTTTTGAATCTCCATTTTTTTTTATTTTATTTACCTATTTATTTAGGTATTGGGGACTGAACTCACAACTCTGTGCTTGCAATACAGGTACTTATGTTGCTGAGCTAAACCCCTGGCCCCTGAATCTCCATTTAATACTCATATCAAATTTGCATTAAATGTTACTGGCCTACATGGAACTTAGCCCCTATGGAATGTCCTTACCATTTCCAGACCTTTTTGGGATCCTAGGTAAAACTGCTTCATGGATTCAATCAACAGCAGATAGAAAGTGTTTCTTTAAAAAGTTACTACCAAGCCGGGTGTGGTGCACGTGTACACCTGTAATCCCAGCACTCAGGAGGCTGAGGCAGGAGGATCACTGTGAGTTCCAGGGCAGCCTGGACTACAGAGCAAGATTCTTTCTCATAGAAAAAAAATAGAAAGAAAGAAAGGAAGGAAGGAAGGAAAAGAAAGTGAAAAAAGAAAAAAAGTTAATACCAAATGAACATGTATACATTTTTGTCATATTCCCTAAACAATATAGCATACTATTTACATAGCATTTACATTATGTTAGCTATTATAAGTAACACAGGGAGAACTTAATGTGTTCAGGAGAAAATATGTAGGTTATATGCAAATGCTATGCCATTTTGTATTTGACCATCTGCATGTCTGGTATCTATAAGGGTCGTAGAACCAGTCCCCTACAGATGCCAGGTATAATATATGCATTCCACACACATATTTGTTTTCAGACATATAAAAAAAAATCTCTGGGGGCTGGGGATTTAGCTCAGCGGCATAAACGCCTGCCTTGCAAGCAAGCAGTCGTGAGTTCGATCCCCGGGACCGATAAAAAGGAAAAACAAAACAAACAAAAAAAAAAAAAGTAAAAAATCTCTGAAGTCATATACATTCAGAATTTTGCTTCTGGAGGGATCTAGTAGTTTGAAAAAAAAAGAAATTTCACTATATACTATTTATATATTTTGTTTTCATATTTTTAAATTTTCTATATTTATTATATACTATTTTGCATATCACATGAAAGTGCTGGTTATCCAAAAAATAAACATAAATAAAAATAAGAATAAAAGAGAGCCAGTCATGGTGATATAAGACTGTAATCTTAGCACTTGGGGAGACTGAGGGATGAGGATCCTGAGCTCCAGGCCAGCCTGGTCCATGCAGCAAGCTCCAGGCAAGCCTAGACTAGACTGAGACCTTGTCTCAAAAAATTTTTTTAAAAAAATCAGTCAATGAAGGGCCAGGGATTTAGCTTAGCAGCATAAGCGCCTGCCTGGCAAGCACAAGGTTGTGAGTTCGATTCCCAGTACCAAAAAAAAAAAAAATCAGTCAAGGGTCAGGGGATGTAGCTCAATGGCAAGAGTACGGGTTTATCGTGCACAAGGTTCTTTGTTCAATAGCTAATACACACACGCGCGCGCGCACACACACACACACACACACACACACACACCAGTCAAAAAATTATTCAAGAAAAAAATGAAGACAATTGTTAAAGTGATCAATACAGCTCCAGATGGAAGAGCTATTATTGATTTGCACTTCTCTCATTCCCCACGACCAAGGCTGTCAACCCTACTTTCCGACTACTTCAGACCTGTCCACCTCTCTCGCTGTCTCCGTCCTTACTACCCTGGATCAAGCCTCAGGCATCTTCTGCCTGGATGCTGCAGTCCTCTGACCATCCCTCCTGACCATTCCACACCTACCCTCTTTCCTGTTCGTGTTCCACAAAATAGCTAGATGGATCTAAAATAAAAGAATGGACCATGCCATTCTCCTTCAAAGTGGGCTTTACACACCAAGTTTTCACTTTTAATTTTACCATATTCGGTACTGGAAAGAGCTTCTGATTTTATTAATAGGCACTGAGTCCTTATGGAAGCAACCTTTACAGATACAATGCTGTTTACTCTTTGTAACAGTCCCATGACATGGGTGTGATTATTGTCTTCATTTTACAGATGACAAGACTCAAGGGGGCTGCTGTCCACGAGATGGGAACCACTTCACACCCAAGTCACCTGCTCGGCTATGACAGGCGCTGCCCTCGCTGTACTCCTGGGCACAGCTGATTCCTGGGCACAGCTGACTGGTCAGTGGCAGGTGCCTGACTCAATCTGCGAGGCAGGACAGAGATGCTGCCAAGTGATCTTGAGTCCCGATTTTGGATCAGGTAACCTCCTGCCACTCTCCTATCCCGAAGTCAGTGTGGAGCCCTGACCTCGTCCCTTCTCTCTGCACAGTGGCATCTGTGCTTATAAAGTAACAGGGAGGGAGGGGCCATGGATGGCTCTGATCAGAAGGGATGATCCCAAAGCAGCCTGACTCACTGTGGACCTTGGAACTCCCTCACCACAGGTCCTTCTCGTTTCCTCAACTGTAAAACGATGGGGTGGGCAGGAGGGGAATGAATGAGATGACTCTCAGAGGAACCTCCCATTCAAAAAACTCACGGGACCATCGTGTCAGAGCAGAGACTGTCCCCTTCTCACCAGGAGAGACAAGCTTCTTCCCTAAGCTTTTGGCCAAGCACCTCCTAGCCCCTTGAATGAGAGTAGAGCAGATTTCCCAACCTGGGACTCCGGATTTGGACGGAGCTGATCTTGCCTGAGCAAATGAACCGCAGAGACGAAAACCATCTGTGGTGTGGTGGTGACGCCTTGCCACAGGCCCCTTAGCAGCCTCCCTTGTGCCAAGATCCAAGTCCACACCCCCAGGCCTCCACCAAGTGCCTCTCCCCCAGATCTGATTACAGATCACATTCCCATCGTGCACTTGGGCCTACTGCTTGGAGGTTGCTAGCCGCTCTTAAGAGTTCTTTATACAGTTCCACTTGGGCTCCCAGCCACTGAATTCTTCCTGCTCATGCATTACTTAGATTAGCTAAGGATGTTGGCATCTAGAGCAACTCCAGCATTTATCTCAGAAGGCGGCCTCATGACTGCCTTGGCTGCTATTTTAAAGCAACGCTCCTCTGCGGGGATTGTTCTTTGCAAAGTGGGATATTACATAGGCTCTCGCTGTATCTATAATTCTGCATATTTTTACAATTAGTTGGCTGGGAGTCCATTTCACCGTGGGCCTCTTGCATGTCAATCTTCCAGGAGCGAGGCGGCAAACTCTGCTTTTGTTCTCTGGCTTCTCTTCAACTAGAATTTTTATATTATTATTGTTTAGGGTACTGGGGATGGAACTCGGAGCCTTGAGCACATGCTGTACCACTGAGTTGCACCTCAGGCCTCTGGCTTCTCTTCAAATGATCTACTCTGCCTCTCAGTTGGGATAGTGCATATCTAGTGCCCTCCAGTACCCAGGACAACATCCAACAATTTATGAAATTCACACTCCTCATAATTCTGTGGTTATATTTTACAAAGCAACTAGGTCTCACAAAGGAAGCCTATAAATGCAAAACACAAAAGGCCAATTATTTTCACTTGAGCAGTCACATTTCTTACCTTAGAGTATCAAGCTTCTCTCATGGTACCACGGCTGCCTATTGTTTATTAAAATGAATTCAGTCAAGCATGATGGCGCGTGCCTATAATCCTAGCACTCAGGAGGCTGAGGCAGGAGGATCATCAAGTTTGAGGCCAGCCTACACTACATAGTAAGATCTTGTCTCAAAAAATAAATAAAATGAACTCAACTCTAAGAAATGAATGGCTTATCCAAGACAGCTCATACCAGATGTATCAGCAAGACTAAGTTTCAGCTGCTGTAGTGAGGAGACCCCATGAAACCCTGGCTTACGAGAACGCGAGAGTTTTTCTCTCAGATGCATCACTAAAAGCAGGTGGCTCCACTGCATAGTACATCAAAAACGAGGTTCTGTCATACATGTTACACAGCAGTGTGGCCCGGGGCCGTGACATTTCAAGAGCATTGTATATTTCAGAACTATAACCCAGTTGCCCCCTGGAAATCCTCCAGGGCTGGGGCTCAGGCTCCAAATGTCCTGCACATGGGCTGAAGACCACAGTGAAAGCAGCCATTATGTATTGCAAACATCTACAGTAAATAAAAAGAAAAAAGAGGACGGAGAAGCTGGGATGTAGCTCAGTTACATCTTGGGTTATATCTCCAGTACTACAAA